ATTGTAGATACCTACCTACCTATAAGTCCTATACATATAAGCTAAGATGATCAGTGAAAAACTACACTACCATGTTATACATTGGTTTTAAATGTTTTGATTAATCATTTATGAAAATCTTTGGGAAAACATATTTTGAAATTTTAAATTTCMGTCGGCGAAACGGTGGCGGCGAGATGTCCGTCGGCGAAACGGGTGGTGGCGAGTCGGGTGGCGGCGAGATGGTGGCGGCGAGAAGAGCAGGTTCGAGGAGTTGGGGAACGAAATTTGAAAAAGTGGACTGATCGATCTCAAGTAGACATAACACAAAATTCAAATCAGTTTTCAAAAGTATAATCGTATTACTAGGTACATCGGTATGATTGACAAAAGATTGGTATATTTTTATTGAAATAACGGACGTTTGCAATCCCCTTAATTTAAATAAAACAAAGATTAGGAATAAACTATCAACAGATACTGTTACAGGAATTAGGAATTTTACATTGTAAAAATTTATTGAAAAATCAAGACAAATCATGTTTTAACTTTGATATTAATTCTGAAATAATAAAAAAAATGAATAGCTCAATATATAATAAATAGAATTATTTTTTTTTTTTTAATAAATTACATTTTTTCAAGTGGTTTTAATTTAATTTAGTTACTCAAAAGTCTGGGATGAAAGTTCAAATCACATTTATTTTATATTAAGTTTTATTAGTTACCTACCTAACACAAAGTTTAGYGTAAACGTTAATATTTTTTTGTTATTTGACAATTTCTAACTATGAATTTTTTTTTTATTCAATTATATTTTTTTCAAATTGTTTATCTAAATATTTAAATTTTGTTTTTGTATGCTTTTTTTATTAATTTAATTTAGTTACTAAAAAGTCTGAGATGAAAGAACAAATCACATTTATTTTATATTATGTTATATTAGTTACCTACCTTTCACAAAGTTTAGTGTAAACGTTATTATTTTTTTGTTATTTGACAACTTCTTAACTATGTATTTGTTATTAATAAATTATAACATTTGTGTTATATTATTGAATATTATCTGCCAGTTATGTATATTGTATATTAYTGTCAAAATTATAACATTGCATTTATTTTTTAAATCTTATTTCACCAAACATTTAAAGGTTCATTCAACAGAAAGTAGGCGCGGAAACTGTTCAAGTGTAAAATAATACTACCGGCCGTGGTAGACGGTAGTACCTGTAAATTGTATCAATATTCAATTATCTATTTGAATTTTGATTTAAAGAGTTTAGACGGCTTAGTGGTTGTGTATTTGACATTTTGATAGAATATGTTAACTGTTGGAGTTCTGATAAGAGTTGGTGAGCGTAGCGAGCGCGAAATTTTATAGTGGGGCTTTCTRGKGATTATTGAGAGTAAATTTCGAGATTTATGACATTTTTATCTGGCAACACTGATGCAGCGCACTCTCGTCCTATCGTTCGAACTGCTACTATTGCCCGTCTATTAGTTTAAGGTCTATGGAAAAAATAAATCAATAATAGTCATTACTGATAGTTAGTAGCCAGTGATGATTGATGATTATTGTTTATTTTATTATGATAAAGAAGAAAATAATTCAAATTTCCTAAAATTAAAAAAAGTGTATAAAATAAATGACAATATCTTAATAGTTATTACAACCATTAAAATTTTTCTAAAAATCAGATTTACAAATTGGCTATTTTGAATTATTTAAAAAAAAATTCA